AAGTCAGTACGATTGTTCCTTACGAGAAAACAAATGATGAATTCTGAACTGGCGGTGTGCAAATAAACGTGACTCACTCTATTTTAGAAGAGGGGGAAAAAAAAGAACGTTAATACTGAAATCTCGGTTACGGTTCACGAGGAGGCCTTCTCGCTTCGCACCAACAAAATTAACCGAACGTTGGATCCCTCCATGAAAAAAACAGGCACACAACAGTACGGCACAACACGCAACACAGAAAAAGCCCACTGGTGCGTCTCAAGCGTTTGCTCGCGGGTGTGGCACCCTCACAAGTTCAAATGTGCATATACAGCCCCCCCCACATACACACACACACACACACACACACACACTCCAAAATGCAGAAACATGCACGCTATGCCCTAACTCTTTCCGGCCACTTCATTGCTTTAAAAACAGAGGAGGGGGGAAATGAGGGCCCGTTAAATGCTAAAACGGGAGAACAGACAGCTAAAAAACCTTCTTTGCAAAAATGGGTGGGGGGGACCCACTAAATTGCAAATACACAAGCCATCGCAATCCTGTCCTTGAGCTTCTGAAGACCATGCTGAGAGAGAGGGAGAGAGAATAAAACAGACCATCCTCGGTGTTAGAAAACGTTCAAGTTAGCAACCTGGATTACAGACAGAACAGGAGAAAAGCACAGATGTTTTTTCCCCTCTCCTCCTAAGAATAACATACAGTACAGTTAAAACACGTAAGATTACACTATACATTATATACACATAAATACATATTGGATCTGAGCAATGTGTGCGTGGGTGTGTACACCCACGCACACACACTTGTAGTGCAATTTTTTAAAAAAGAAACAAAAACAGAACGCGCACAGACGAACCCTCTACGATGAAATTAGCACGTAGCAGAAAAAGTCAGGAGGAGGAAGTTGTCCTATAGACCTCCTAGGAGCAATTACAGAGGACCAGGTACACAAGCATCAAGTTCAGAATCTCCATAAAGTGCTCCTTTGATTCACAAAGCTAGTGTGTGTTGCATACGTGTTTTCTTTCCTCATTTCCTGTCCCTCGGGGAAGAAAGGCTACTGACAAAAGAAACCCAGCATTTCTCCAGAACAGATGTTTTCTCACAGCCTACTCTGGACAAGAGGGGCCACTTTCATGCAATGATTTAATGCCCCCTTCCCCGGGTGTAGATCTCTTTATTCTACACATTTTGGCTTCTTGAGAGAGAACATGATAGCTTAAAATTGTATTGCATTGCTCCAACCGCTTTAAAGAGGTCTACGTCCTTCTATGGATTTGTCCGCCTCCCCATAGATAAAGAAGGAATGGCCTCTGCCCCATTGCATCCACCATGGAAGGAGATAGTCAGGTTTCCAGCACTCGAATGGAAGAAGTATGCTCCAGCAAAACTGAGCTCCAGATCTTCTTTCTTCTTCCCACGCAGAAAGAGATGAGAAGCATGGGTGATGTTGAAGAAAGCCAAGAACATGGAGATCGGGGGATGGTGGATAGGGCCCAAGCGTGCAACTGGACAACAGTTGTATAATAACACGTCTTTTCACCAGTGACATTCCTTTCTGGCTGAGCTTCATCCTTCCAGCAATGGAGAAGCCCTCCAGGCGTCCACTGCCAGCAGTAGACGAAGTAACTCCAGATTTAGGGAGCCAAGCTGGCATTGCAATAACCTCATCTGTTCTTCCTCAGAAAAAATAAAACCAGTGGACACAAAGGAGGTTTGGTCCTTGGTTTCCTCAGCCCTCTTCCACCAGATGGAAAAGGGGGACATGTAGGCCTTCTGAATCTACCTTTTCCCAGTTTGCATGGGGCAAAAAGGTTAAGCAGGAAACCAGCTGATACTCCTGAAAAAGAGAAAGAAAGAGAATAGATATTCATGAAAGGTGTCATTGTCAACCGGGGAAACCAACAGTGGCCTCCAAGAAGTTGTCCCAACTGAGATTTATTCAAAAGAGGGGCAGGGTTAACTTCCAAGCATTTTAGGAACCAAAGCAATTACCTGCATGGAAAGAGAAACAAAGCTTATTGTCATGCACAGATCCCTGATAGCAAGCTGGACAGACGGCGTTCAATGCACATTTTGCCTGAAAAGAGAGAAGTATATGAGGAATGTGATTAATCAGCCCTCCCGCCAACGTTATGGGTTGGGCAAGACATATCAACATTCTTGAGCACGGGAAAAATACCCCAAATCTCAAAAGACAGGTGGGGAAAATAGCTTTAAACTCCAATTTTATACTTCTGGGCAAATAGATGTCAAAGGAAGTGATTAAAGGATATTTTAATAAGAAAGTTAAGGGAGTCCACCTAACTCTGACCTCAGAAGATAATGTTGTGGCTGCAATAAATATTAAGCTACTCTTGGAAAATGCCCGTTAAAAACTAACAAGCTTCTGAGAATTAATAATGGCTGTTGGGCTATAAATTTCTCAGCCAGCCAGCCTTTCTCTCCTTTGCATATATACACTAAAACAAATTAAGAGACAGAGCTGTTCCAGTTTACTATATATAATGGTTCTCACTCATGGTGAATACACACAACTTGGTTTGCAAGCTTTGACCCAGGAAGTTGGGTTACGTAACTCCCAACCATAAAACACTGCACAAAAGTCCCTGTACCTAATGCTGTTCTGTGATTTTTTTTTAATCAGTTTGTGTGTGACAATACTGCTTTCTCCAAAAAAGTCAGAACGATACACCATAAGGCAATGCAATTATGAAAAAAGCCAGGGTAATTAGACGAGAAGGTTAGGAGAAAGGAGCGGGATTCCAAAAAAAACCCAAAATAAAACAAAACTCCATGAAGGAGCCCTACAAGTCTCCTTCCTGGTCCTCCTTACATTTATTGATGTTCTCAACATCTCCTTGCTCAGTGATGAAGTTCAAGAGTCCTTCCATCAACAGCAACGCTTTCTGGTATCTTTGAACACAGTCTTCTCGGTGATGGAACATCTCATCCAGCGCCGCAGCCTGAACCTGGAGAAGAAAAACATCCTGGGGTTCTTCTATTGCCTTAACATCAAAACTCTTGATTTTACACACAGAGGCATATCTGTGCCCCACTGCTGCCATCAACACCTTCATCACACACTGCAATACCAACACAGATCTTGCCTACCATCTGCACAGCGTGGCTGAAGATCAGTTTTTCAGCCGTGATGCTGTTGATGCGGTCCATGAGCTTCTGTTTGTCCATGAACCACCTCTGTAGCCTTAAGTTCAGGTGGTGGCATGAAGAGACGCTACTTTTATACAGATCGTTGAGTTTTCTCACAACTACAGGAAGGAAATAAATAAAAGAAGGAAGTCACTCACCCAATAGGAAAACTGATCGCACACTTCCTGCAAATCTCAAGTCTCTCTTTTTTTTAATGTTCCCTGGATATCCTTGGACCAATTGCCATCATTCAACCTTGGCTACCGTATTAAGAGGCAAAAAGAGCCTCTTCTAACGTCTTGAGCTCCAGGAAGGAAAGACGGGATATAGTTGAACTAAGTAAGCACCAACCTGAACTTTAATGTGGGCTACTAAAGTTCACTCCAAAGTTGTTGGAACTGCAGTTTTTAACAGGACAGAAGAAGAATGTAAGAACTACACAGGGGAGCCTCCAACTCCAAAAGGTTCACACATCTCTATCAGAACTTCAAACTCCTTTCTTCATGCTTCTCATTATTCACAGATAAGATAGGGAAGCAGTACGGAAGAACATTTTTTTCCAGCAGGGACAGAGAGCCAATCGCTTATTTTTAAAATAAAAAGACACTTTAAAAAAAAACAAAGGATGCCTAAGATCAACCAGGAGGTATTTAAAACATCCCTTTCAGAAAAGCATCTTTTAAATATTTTTTCTGCCACTTCATTCAATGTTTTACTTCACGTCTACTTCAGCTATATCTTTTTTAAAAGTTTGGCCATTACAGTTTTCTTTGTAAAAAGCTGCCGTTTTTTCTGCTTCATTTTCTGTCAATTCTGCGTGTCTCGGACCGTTTGGAAGGGAAAACCAAGGTGTGCATTTCTGAAAGGGGGTGGCAAAGGACAGCTCAACACGTAGGTGTCACCTCCTTCCTATTTTCCTCCATCTACCCTGGAGCAACCTTTGCCAAGGAATGAGTCAACGGGCTGAGTGATGGCATATTAATGTAAGATCACAGGCCTTCTCTGTCATTATGAAGTCGCACCCACATCAATTATCCTTAAGCCCTTAAGTTAGCACATAGCGAAGTGCTGAGAAATTCCAATCGGGTAATACGTGTTATTTTTCTCTCTCCAAGACTAGCAATCAGGATGTTTGACAAAGCACAGAATGACATCTGTATTTCAGAGAGAACTGAACATAGGGCAAAAAAGAACAATTTCCAACTTGAAAGAGATGGGGAAGAACAAGTATAGACTGTAGGGGAAATGTGACCCTATGGAGATCTTTGGAACTTGGAGTGCAAGTTCGTTCATTCATTCATTCATTCATTCATTCATTCATTCATTCATTCATTCATTCATTCATTCATTCTATACTACATATAAAACAAGATTTAAAACATTCACCTTCAGATCCCAATCGCAGTGGCAATAACAGTATAAAACCCCCTCATCAAAACTCTAAAAAGCAATATATAAAAATAAGAAAAAACAAGCCGGCCTCAATATAAACTTAAGAAAAGGCACTCCAAAATAATTCGGTTTTAACCTTTTCCAAAAGGCTGGTAAAGTGGGGGCCAACCTGATCTCCATGGGGAGTCTGTTCCAATGCACTAGCTTCAGCCTCCCCCCGTTCACCTCTTGAAAATGTGGGACTGTAAGAAGATTCTCTTTGGATGTTCTAATAGTGTTGGGTCGACACCGGTTGGGACCCTCAAAATGGTGACCAGGGAGGCCATAGCTAGCCACAAAAACACCCATTAACCAGAAGGTAAATTGTTAAGGTTGCACCCCAAAACACTTTGTATTGCTCCCCAATTTACCTTTATTTTAATTTTTTTTTTTCTGGGCTGATGGATAGATCCAATAAAATCCACCCACCATATTTATTTTCTAAAAAGTCGGTGGAAACTATGCAGGGCCCTGAGGCACTGGGGGCTAACACAGGAAATGAGCATCCCTAAGCGAATTTAAGTCTGCGGTCCATGGATGCTCTTTCAATTCCTTCGCTTTCGTTAGATCTCGGGGTAACCTGGCATCTTGCAGTGGTCAACAGAGTCAACATTCATGGCTAGAATGACTTGCGGTTGGTCCAAGGAACTGAAAGGGGACCACGCCTGATGTTGCTGGGTGGAAGCAATTTGTTCCAATTAGTACTGAACAGCTGTCTGCTTTCCACCAGATCAGTCGGTCCACTTGGACCTTTTTACTAGTGTGGGACTCACTCTTTGCAAGGCTAGAGCACAACCGTGTCATTATCCAACACGCTGTTGACCTTTCTGAGCAACCACAGTTCTTAGCAAGATGGGAGAAGGATGTGATCCTCCCGACATCTGGACAGTGAGCAAGGATGCCTCCTCGTGTCTACTGCTACTAAAAACTCTGTGTATTTACAGGGCGATGCTTGCTGGGGCAACAGAAATCAGGGATTCCTTATGTGGTTGGGGGCCAAACGCTTACTTTGCTTGACGGTGGAGGAGAGACACAGCTTGCCTGCCCGGATCTGGTCAATGGCCATCTGGAGGCCCGAGGACAGCAACTCAGCAACTTTCAAATACAGCACCAGCTGTTCAGCGTAGCTTCAACAGAACAAAACAAAAACCCAAACAGGTGAATGGAGCTGCAGAATGAAACCACCCAGTTGCTTTATTTCCATACTGTTGGTTGAGGCAGCAAGCCCTCACACCATTGGATCCCACACCTGGAGGATTCTCCCGGGGTTGCCACGTACCTCCATTCCTTGCTGAGCAAACTGATTTGGTCAGCAACCACACTCTCCTGAAGCTGGTACTCCGAGGCCACCGAGCTGCTCATCTCGCTGGCGCTGCCTTTGATGGTGGCGAGCTCCATCACGTAGTGAACAAAAGCCAGAGTGAACCGCAAGCTGCGCAGGATGTCCGTGTGCTCTTGCTGAAAACACAGAGACGGACACAACATGACAAGGGTTAGTGCTGCTAACTCCCCCCGAGGTCTAGCCATGGGCTTTCAGCCAGGAAACAGCCATCAGTTTGTTTAAGGTGGTGGAGGTTGCATTACGGCCTATTTCGTCTCACCACAACACTTTGGAATGGGTAGTCTGAGAGTGACAGGCTCAAAGTACCCCAGAGAGTTTCCTTGGTTGAGGATGGACTAGAATCTGTGTGTTCCTACTCCCAGTCTGGTTCTTGGGCTGAGAAGAAGAGACTGACTGCAAGTCCCCCAGGGAGCTTCTATGGCTGAGGTTTCCACTCCATCCAGCTGAACATGGTGCTTCTTGTTGTAGACCTTAGAAGGAGACCAACATGGCTCTTCTCCTACAATGTCAATGGCTGAAGGTGGATTAGAGCCTAGAAATGAACTTTTTACTGTTTTCAACTTGGATTTGGGGTTGTGGGGAATGAAACTCACTTCCATGAGGGTCTCCTCTGGGAGCTCAGGTGCCTCAAAGGTAACTGCTCCTTCCAGGTTGGCAGCAATCGGATCAGCAAATGTATATCTGAGACCTGATGGGGCTTCAAGGATTTCCCCACCAGCTCCCATAATTAAGTGGCGCCCAGTGAAAGATCCTCCAGAACTAAGAGAACTTGAAGATCCCACTTAAAAAAAACACAGAATATACAGTTTAAAACATAGTAAGATGTGCAACCAAAGGAAAACAAAAGCCACCTCCTATCTCCACATTTAAAACATTTCTTTAGTAAACCATGGGAATGCCATAGACATAATATATCTTGACTTCAGAAAGCATTTGACAAGGTTTCCTGATATTCTGTCTAGCAACCTAGTTTAATATAGGCTGTATGGTTTGATTAGAAAACTGTATGCAAAGGACACTCATCATCACCTACATAAAGGTTTCAAGTGGGGTGTCACAAGGCTTGGCCTGGTCCCAGTATCTTCAACATTTTCATTGATGACTTGTATTAAAACATTGCCGTTAAATTCAGCAACCTAGAATGTGGGTTCATTCAGTGATAGCTTACCACACTGTGTGAAACTATACATTGTTTTCTAAACTATTGTGAGTTTTTTGGATGATGTATATCTAGCCCCTAGATCAGATTTTCCCAATCCGGACATTTTTCAGATGGGTGGATTTTGACTCCCAGAATTCTCAGCAACACTGGCTAGGGAAGCCTGGGAGCCGATGTCCCTATTTCTGGAGGGCAACCTTCAATTCCCAGAATTCTTAGCTGAGGCCATGCTGGCTGGGGAATTCTGGGAGTTGAAATCCATGCATCTGGAATTTTGTGGGGTATAAGGGCTTCAGTTGGGGGCTTCAACTGGCCTGCTAGATGGTGCACAAAGGTTGAGAGGTGCCAGGACAGAAAGTACATTTGATATACCATACATTTATTTTGAGTGAAAGTAAATGAATAACATACATTTATTAAGGTTAGGGTCATGATTTCCTTTCAAAGCTAGCAAACCATGTGTAGCCTAAAGGGTGCCCGGGTAATTCCTTCCTTCTACAATGTAAAAGGAGGAGGACATAGACAATGCAGGTTCCATCTGCCTCCAGCTCAGAGAGGCAAAGGCATTTTTGGTACCTGAATACATTCTGGTCCGGGTGGTTTGTGGTGGTGTCGTCCCAGCAGGAGGTGATCCAACTGTGAAGACCACTGGCGAAGGACTTACTGAACAACCTTCTCTAGCCCCTGAGTGAAAGGTTCCTCCACAGGCCATGGAAGGAGATGAAGAGAAAGAGGGAGAAAGGATGATCAGCTCAATTAAAGTTTCATGGATGCAGGAGAAAAGAATTGTGGACTAGAAACAGGAGGTGGACCGGTTGGGGAGGAAAACATGGCCACCATGAAAGCACCCCCGAGTTCCTCAGTTTCCAGTACCTGTGATTTCCATGGGCTTTTCGCTGTTGAGGCTGTCATTATTGCTAGCTTCCCCAAAAGCAGCCTTAAGAAGCAGATCGGTGAGGCGGCCAGTGCTGAGTGACCTGCAGAAGGAGAAAAAGCCACAAGGAACCTGTGGTTGAAAAGCGTCTCTATTTGTGTAACCCAGTAAGAAGACCTCCTTGCCAGAAAAATATTTTCTTTAAAGAATGCTTTCTTCTCCTCTGAGAGGGAGTCCTTCCTCAGCCATCGATAACAAAAATAATATTTTGTTCTTTGGAATAAGAATCCAAATAGTTTTAAACAACAGCAAGACAATATTTTATGATCATACCGGTAATCAGGTTAAACGTAACCACTTAGTTTACCTTTCAGTTCAAATTCTGACATGGCCCAGAGTCAAGCAAGGCTGCGTTTTAACCTCTCAGACCTTCCCATTTAATTTCAAGATGGTCCAAGTTCAAATTTATTTATTCACAATCATAGACCAAAATCAGGCCTACATAAATTCCTCTGCTAGCACTGAAAACCAAGTTTCATTCTCCTAAAAATGGTGCATCAATTTACAGAGGCTACTGCATTGCTCTCATTGGACCTCAACCAGTCTGAAGAAAACACGTGATGTCTTTTATTGTATAAAAGAAGGATTCATCTTAAATTACACCCCAAGACAACAAGGCCATAGGTGGCAAAACATAAAGTCTTGCTGTAATTTTTACAAGTGAGGACCACCATCTAACAAGGCATCCCCAGTTTCTAAATTTGGGGTCAACATTTCAGGGTGTCGTGTACAGGATAGGAAAGTGGCACAACATTTGGGAAACCCATCAAAAATGAACATCCTCTCCACCCTACCCCAAAGTTAAAAAGCAAAAAACATGTCATCGTTAAAGTGTATCTGCAAACCAACATTGACTTTTATTTTTGGTTGTGTGGGCTCCCACCTGCCTTTGGCGTCTTCCATCGGCCTCAAACTGAGACCTCCTTGTTGGCAAGGGAAGTGACCCATTTCTTTCAAATCCGGTAGAGTCTTGTTCCTCGTCGGGGTGATGACAACTGCTTGATGGGCCAGGAGAGCAAACAGATTTTGGGAACTAGGTGTTTTACTGAACTCAAATGGTGACATTGCCTATATTTCAAAACAAAACAGAACAGAACAAAAAATCACAAGGAAGGAGAGAAGTGACAGAATCAGTGGACAGAAACGGAAAATGAAGTCTGTGCGTTTTAGGCTGCTGGTCACATTGGAGATGTTTAGAACTTCTTGTGGGACACACATACAACGAGGGGGCCAGGGGGGTCTGCTTAGCACCAAAAGAGCTGCTGCAATGGATGTGACCCTCTCGTTCATATTTATTTTCTCACAGAGAGACAGTTTGGTGGAGTGGTTAAAGTTTCTCCTGGATGAGAAACCAGGAGACTGTGAGTTCTAGTCCTTCCTTAAGGCATGGAAGTTGGATGTTGGTAAACTGCAGAGGATGTTCAGCGTCACCCTCTCTGGCCATTCTAAGATGTTCTGCATCACCCCACAACTGAGCTTTGCTGACTGCCTCCCCCAAGACAAACAGACATGGATGCCTTCCAAACCAAGTTTTGAACTTTTAACTTTCTACGAAATATCTCTGAGGGTCTCTGCGAGTCCCACTTCCATTCTTGGGAGTAAACCTAAAGGCTAGAAGCTGAGGTCTTGTTTTACAGCCGGTCAGCTTTCTTGTAATTATTAAAAGAACTTTCAAATCAAGGGGTTGAGGCAAACGGCGAACAAACCCCTACAGTTTGGGGGTTCCAAGTTGAAAGTCTGAAGAAATGGGGCAGAGGAATCAGGACGGCTTGATAAAGCAGAGAGGGGCCAAGGGCATTCACACACACAATTGGAAGCATGGCTCGGCAAGCGGTCTGATGTGGGACTTTTCTTCTGTTCCCATTTTTTCCCCAGGGTTCTTCTGTTATAAGGACAGCAGACCTACAGATTTGGTCTGGATAGCATACAGGGAGGGAATTTATTTTGGGTTCCTCCTACGCTACGGCTCAAACAGCAGTGATACATTACAGTGAAAGAGGGTTTTGAGCCATGACCATGTGACACTGCTTGACCCTTCGGGGGACAGGGGTGTCATTTTCTCTCCATTTAATGAAGGTTTCTCTCCAGTCCACCCAACCTCCCAATTTAGAGCTTTCCAATTCCACCAGATGCAGTCCTGAGGAAAAATGGACTACCTTTGTTGGAGAACCCAAAATGGTGGGCAAGGGAGTCCTCTGCATGAATTCGGAGAGCTTTGGGGAAGACCTCAGGGGCCGACCAGATTGCAGACTGGGCAGCCGTGTGGGCTGGCCAGCTGGGATGGGGCTGAAGTGGGCGACCAGCGGATCTGAGTACTGCTTGGTGACTTTCTGCCGGCAGGAATGGAAATCGGAGAGGTTGGGAGCGCTGTGAAGGCGATAGCCCAGCCCTTGCAGGGAAGGGTCCGGTCCTGAAGCATCTGAAGGGAAGACAAATAAAACAAAAGAGGGAGTGAAGAGCAGAAAGGAAGAAGAAAACATCAGGGCAAACCATTTGGATGAATGCAATATCTGAGGCCGGGTTGGAAACTGGTCTAGAAACTTCGAATGGTTCAAAACAGAGGCCCTAAGAGGGTTGGTCAATATTAGATCAGAATTAGATTAAACCAGGGTTCTCCAAAGTGGTCAATATCAACCCCCAAGGGGACTATCCATTGTTGTTGCTGTTGTTGTTACTATTATCAGTAGTAGTAGTAGTCTTATTAGTTAAAGTAGGATTTATTAAATTATTTTCATATCATAAATGTTTGGGGGTTGATGAACCATCAGAAGATGTGATGGAATGGTTTGATGAAGGCCGTGCTCGGGAAGATAAGCATTCCCTTAGCCCTCAACAGAAGTTTAAGAAGATGAGACTGGCACCACCCTAAGGAATTCATGGTGTTGTGCCTTGCTGGCTTGGGAAGTTAGGTTCAGTCGGGAGAGATTTCTGTCTTGAGGTGGGAGCTAATAAACACAACAGAACTGTATCTGCACTGTCTCGGGGAGTTCTTTGGGCTGAACCTGACAGAAACCTCATGAAGGGGTCAGTGAGCTGAAGAGTTTGGGGACCCCTGGATTAAGCCAATGCTTTGCAAGACACACTGGCTCCCAACTCTAGGCCCAATTCAAAGAATTGGCTTTAAACTTCTAAGTCCTAATGAGAAGCGCCTCTGTCCACATTCACCTACCCAAACTTTAAATGTTCTCCAGCTGCATCTCTCTCTCTCTCTCTCTCTCTCTCTCCCTCTCATCCATCCATCCATCCATCCATCCATCCATCCATCCATCCATCCATCCATCC